GTTGGCATCCAGTTCCCCCACGGTCCACTCTCTCCCCCTTACTTCTGGCCATGTAGACTGCTAATGCCCATCCCCTGCTGACCACTCTCCCCACACGCCAGGGCTGCCATTTTGCTCACTGCCCCAAAGAACGGTACACAGACCTGAGGATTCTTTAATCAGGAGGCTCCGTTCTGGCCCCAGCTGTCCTCCCTGCATCTCCACCTCGCTGAAATCGACGAGAGCCCCAAAGCCCGGTCCAGATATCACCTTCCCCTCCATGTCATCTTCCCGACTCCAAATTTCAGCTAACATTCACTGAGTACTTTCTATAGAGCAGGCTCTATCGGTATTTTTTTATCCATTATCTTTTTTTTTCTTTAACTGATTTCTTTTCTTGACTTTTGAAGTCTTTTGTACACAGTTACCACTTTTGTTTCTTAGTGAAATCATAGAGCTATTCTTATCTCATCCCCTGGCAGTCTGAGAACTCATAGCATTTTCTGTTTCTTTCAGAGCCTCATTGTGTTGATGATAGTAGGTGCTCCAAACCACACAAGTGATATCATAATTAATGGGGTAAACTCTTAGCTTATTGTATTGAAACTGTCCCTTTCTAACAATTGAGTAATTGAACCTAATTTATCAACCACATTTTATATTTTGATGATTGAATACATCTCAACAAATACAAAATTCAGTATGCCTGTACAGATGCCTCCTAGTTACTAGGCTGTTGACATTAAAAGATGTGAGAGTTCAGTGCCACTCCATGCTCCTTCAGGTCCACGTGGGGTGGCAGCTCACCTGGTTTGCCCATGAATAAGGAGTTTCTCCAGGACATAGGCATTCCGTGCTCAAACCAGGACAGTATTGGGTCAGTCAGTTCAGTCACTCAGTCGTGTCCGACTCTTTGCGACCCCATGAACAGCAGCACGCCAGGCCTCCCTGTCCATCACCAACTCCCAGAGTTTACTCAAACTCATGTCCATGAGTTTGATGGCTGGTGATGCCATCCAGCCATCTCATCCTCTGTCGTCCCCTTCTCCTCCTGCCCCCAATCCCTCCTTTCCAATGAGTCAACTCTTTGCATGAGGTGACCAAAGTACTGGAGTTTCAGCTTCCGCATTAGTCCTTCCAATGAACACCCAGGACTTATCTCCTTTAGGATGGACTGGTTGGATCTCCTTGCAGTCCAAGGGACTCTCAAGAGTCTTCTCCATTGGGTAAACCTAGACATTTAGTCAAAGTAGTCATAAGAAATTATTTCCCCAATGGAAGAAATTGACTGTACTTTTATACTAAATGCTCAGGAATGGATAGCTCTTTCTTAGTTGTATTTTTTGCAGTCACAGGCAAAAGTTTAAATCTCTCAGGGCCATTTTTGTTGTCATTTGCCCTTCTGGTTGCTACATAGCATTGTCTGTATATCTGACAGCTGGTAGCAAAAAGCTTTATTACTTCAGGGAGCTCAAAAAAGTTAAACAATCAAACTTGTTCCAATCAATTCCTTTATTATATTAGACAGGGCTTTACTAATAGCCATTTAGAGTTATCATGAATAACCAATCAGTGTGGTATGACTTTTCAAAGGGTTTGAAATAGCTGGCATCAGTAAGGATATATCAGATTCCCTGGTTATAACTTCCAATTTTTCTTTTCCTACTAAGTTTTCTAACTTTTCTTTAGAATTGACTGTTTTGGGTCTCATAGCTAGTACTGCTGTCTGAATCAACTGTATCTGCTTTTGAACTATGCCATTATTTACTTGTATATTTAATGACTAGCTCCTCTTGGCATTTCTGGTCTCATCAGAAAATGAAAATATACCTCCCGGGAACTTCATCTATCTTCCTCCCTTTGCTTGTCCACCTGCCTAGTCCAAACAGGGAAGCCTTTGGATTACTTGGGATAAAAACTAGTTATACTTCTGGCACAAGGCAGTTCCACTCTTTGGAAGCGCTCTGCATAAACAGTCATGCCGCCTAATGGAACAAATATACTATTTAGCAAGTTTTTCAAATTCCTCTTATTGTTTGTTCAATCACAGTCTTCAAAGAGTTAGATTTAGTAACTGTTTCTGAAATACCTATCAGAGCCATGCTTCAAGATATTTAGTCTGTATACATGCTTTGTTCCCTCAATGTCTTTCTAAATACTGAATCCATAGAATTTTGCATTCGGCACAGTGCCTGCATGAAGAGATTCCACTTGATCATCATAAAGTTATTTTCAGGCTCAGGTCATGGCATGAGAAATGTGCATAGATAAAACTTTTTAGTTATGGAATGGTCATATCACAACCAGTTGTTTGCATGGCATATTATATACAGGTAATTGTAAAATTTTTGAAAGTGGGAATATTGGCTCTACACTAGGATACATTTTTAGTTATTAATGATGAGTTTATAGGAGTCTGTAACAAAAAGAACAGGCCTCCTAATTCCCCCTTACAATTCACCTATAAACACTTTATGCCACTTGGTGAATTAAATGCAGTTTCTCAGATCCGTTACATTCATTTACCTTACAAATGCATTTGGAACCTCTTCTCTAAGCCAGACGCTCTGCAGTCACGGAAGAGAAATCATACCCCATGTGGCGTGGTAACAATGGCAACAGTGTGATGAGCGAGCTGTGACTCAAACGGTCACCACAACAGAAACAAACAAACAAAAAAAACACATGTTCTGAATTTATAAGTTAATTTTAGAGTGTGAAACTTCATGTCATATAAAAAATTATTACATGTCACTTATATCTCATAAAACTAATAGAGCTTTCAAACCATTTAATGGCGATTTTCCCTGTTAACACCATGTTTTGAAGGAGTTTATCTGCTCAACACATTTATTGTGCAATTATTTTCTCTTTAGTATTTACCAAAAACCAAACAAATAACTGCCATTCAGAAGACAGTTGATACATTGCCGGTACTGCACCCCTCCTCCCTATAAAAGAAAAAATAAATTTATTTCATTTTTTTCCTTTGGCTGTGTATTATGATTGTGGAAAGATTCTGAATTTCAAGTATATTAAAATATTTTAAAATGCTGCAAGTCTCCATTAGTGATTCGGTGGCCTTCACTGATCTAGTCTAATTTCCTTGTTTATTAATATTCTATTAACAAACATTTTTCTCTGTTGACTTGCCAGTCTGTAGTTTAACTGGAGCTACTCAGCCTCTGTTCTGAACACCTCCTTTGAGTATTGCATGAACAGACCTTGTCTCTGAAGGGTAGGAATTGAGTCGGAAAAGGAAACAATTTACAGCCTTCATAAAGACTCAAGGTGCTTTTCTACTTAACTCAAGTGGTTGTTTAACAGGCATGAAGTGTTTGTTGTATTTGACAGCTCTGCGTGTTAATTTATGTCCTAAAGGTTGTTAAGTTGACAATTATTGGGGGTGGGGAGGTGGGGAAGGGCAGTGTGCAAAGCTGAGCTGGGACCGAGACACCCATTTTGCAGACTATTCAAAGTCCTTACCCTCCCCTAACCCACCCCCTCACCCTCTTCCCCACCCCCTTCATATCCATCAAATCTCTCATCTTATTTCCCTAAACTGAGATTAAATTATAAATTACACTGGTTTAAAATCACTTGACACTGGCTTGGGGATATTTGGGTACCATGAAGAGTTAGAGAGCCTCGCATTGCATCTTTGTCAATAGTTTCAATTCCCCCAGGGCAAGAAAATACCTTTGAATATCCATGGTGAAATGATATAGACTGTGGTTAAGTGATAAGTGACAACATAGGATTTCAATGAACTTTAAAAAAGAGCTCCACAATTTGGTTTCCTTAATCCAAAATTTGACATTTCTCCTCTATCATATGTGTGTTACTCTGTATCTTTCCAAATTAAGGAGGCAAGCTTGCCTCGTGTAATATTAGGTAACTAAAACTAAATAGACTTGTTAATAGCAGTTACCAATTTGTGATGAGGTTATTGATAAGTTTTATTTTTTCTTTTCTGGATGTATTTACAAGTTTTTACAGTGAACATACATTATTTTTTAATTAAGAAAAATAACATTTATAATAAAAGTTTCAAAAGTACATGTATAAAAATTCTACATATATTTTTGCCATAGCAGAGTAAAGTATGACTTTGTGTTAAATATAAAGATATAAAAGAGTTTAATGCAAGATGGAGATTTTATGTATTCAACTGGGATTTTAAAGTATTTTTAGAAAGAGTTGCAAATGTAGATAATCACTGTGTCATCATTAAATTGTCCTATATATAAGTAAATTTTCTGAGAGAGTTAGGTCAAATTTAGCTTAGATCAATAGATATTCTCATTGAGAACTAAAAGTTTACAACATCCGAGGATAAGAAGGTGTCATGAAAGTTTAGAAGCCTCCAAATATTTCATGCATAAACTTTAATAAACTTTTCACATGCTAGAGGAAAGGTAATGATTTATGTCATCTTGGATTTTCAACCAAAAAACTAGATATGTCAGAAAATTGATATTTCTTGCATGTTAGTTCTGACTGCACTAAGAAAAGTTATGTACACTTCTCTTTAAACCTACTAATTATTTTATCTTACAAATGGGATGGTGTTATCACTTGAATACAAGCGGGTAACAATGGAGCCTGAGAGTAAATCTTTGTGGGTTAGAATTTGGCTCAACCACCAAACTGCTAGTCAGTCTCAGCCAAATTTCTATCTCCTCATCCATGAGTGATAATAGTAATAGTACTAACATTTTAAGATTGTTAGGAGGATTAAGTGTAAAAATATGGACTAGTACCTGCCATGTAGTAACAATTCATAAATGGTAGTTCTGTTACTAGTTATAATACATATTCAGTGAATAATATGCATTCATCTTATTTTCTTCTTTGGATTACTTACTTGTTTTATTTGTTTTTTAATTGGTGCTAGAAGGAAAGCTTGGCTCCCATTGGGTTGTATCTGACCTTTCTACAGAGTGAAAGTATAAGTCGACATATATAGCATAGGTTACTACCAACCACGGTAAAGCTGACCAACTTCTTGCCTTCCCTAGTGAGCCATCTCTATGGATTTGGGCTGATGGATGCAGAAGCCATGGTGATGGAGGCGGAGAAGTGGACCACTGTTCCCCAGCAGCACGTGTGTGTGGAGAGCACAGACCGACAAATCAAGTAATGTGTGCTGCAGGCAGGCAGCATGACCATTCCCTAACAGAGAGCTGGCCCAGGCAGACGTCTCGAGACAGCCCCGTCTAGTAGTTTGTGCAGTTTTTTTCTAACGTGATTATAAAATCTTAATAGAATGTCTAAGACCCTAAACTGTTAAATCTGTTGTGGTATAACCTGCTATGCCCTCCTCCAGAGGATCTTTCCAACCTTAGGTTCCTTAGGATGGAACCCAGGTCTCCCACTTTGCAGGTGGATTTTTCACCGTCTGAGCCACCAGGAAAGCCCACTAGTATAAGCCAAGGATCCTTAAAAGAAAAGCATATTTTATAAGAGGATGGGAGGACCCTTACACGTGGGTACTCTTCAGGTTTCTACTCTGTCAGTATTTGTGTTTGATGGTAGAAGTATTTCCCATAAGTTGGTATACCCCCACCACTAAACCTTATGTTCTGGAAACTTAGCTACTTACCATGTTGTTCTCTGAGAGTGATGCAGGATGCACAGTAAATGAGGCTGCACTTACTCAGATTCCAGGGCCTGGTGTCCTGTTTCAGCCACACAAACCTGGAGGCTGTGCAACAGGATTTACCAAGTGATAATGAAGTCTCTCCTAGGCGCTGAATTTGAAGAATTAGGATTTATTATAGTGATTTTATTAGTATTTTTCTTTTGGCTTTCTTTTTATAGAGAGTTAGCTCAGACAAATACTTATGAACTTTGGTTTGTAACGAGAACAGAGCCATTATGATTCTTGAGGAAATTGTTAGGAAGCAGAAATAAATGGACTAAATTTTTTTTTTCTCATTCTACCCATTTGTGGCAAAGAATATAAAAAAAAAGGAGTAAAAAGTTAACCAGTATTTATTGAGTTCTTACTATAGGTCAAGCCCTAGCAATTTAATGGGTGTTTTCTTCTTAAAACTTTATAACAACTTGGGTTTTATTCCCTTTTGACAAATGAAGAAATCAGATCAAAAGGAATAGTTGTTTATTTCTACACAAATTTCACTTACCAATTCAGCATCTATTTTTCTTTCATTTATTGGATATCAAGAACAGGACTAGTGGCACAGGCAGCCAGGAGGAGTCCAGATCTCCTCCTGCATGTGTTGCATCCCTGCGCCCTTTTGGCCAGATGCCAGGGACCCTCAGAGCCCAGTGAAGCAGCTCAGACCCAGCTGACCAGAGGCACCCAGAGCCATGTCAGAACTTTGAGCAAGGCCTGGTGACACCCACCAGTCTTCCCAGCCTGACTTCAGGATGCTGAGCCTGAAGCTTCTGAGCCTGTTCAACAGGGAACATATGCCCCAGAGATGAAGCCCTGAGCCTTGGGAATAGGAGCGCTGACTCCAAGACTAGGGAGTATCAAACACTGAGGACTCACACAAAGGAAACCACTTGAATACAAGACCCTGCATCACCCAACCACCAGTAGCACCCTGTGCAGGAGCCTCATCTAAACAACAAACAAAACAGAAATACAAACCCAGTCATCAGCAGACAGGAGTACCACCTCACTCAGCCTTGCCCATCAGAGGAAAAACAGACAAACAAAAACTCCACACAAATCTTACCCTATGCGAAGCTCACACAAACCACTGGACCAATTTTAGGAGGACAGAAGCCAAAAGAAAAAAGGAATTCAACCTTAATCAAGGAAAGAATTCAAATTTCCTTGATGCCTGGGAAAGGAGACCTCAAACACAATAACTTAAAAAAAAATAATGGAAAGGCAGAGAAATACTGCTCAAATGAAGGAACAAACTAGAAACACAGAAGTCCAAATAAATGAAGAGCAAACAGGCAAACTACCTGAAAAAGAATTCAGAATAATGATAGTAAAGATGATCAAAAACCTTGAAAACAAAATGGAGAAAATGTAAGAATCATTTAACAAAGACCTAGAAGAATTAAAAAATAAACATACAAACAACACAATTACTGAAATTAAAAATACTCTAGAAGGAATCAATAGCAGAGTATCTGAAGCAGAAGAACAAATCCATGAACTGGAGGATAAATTGGTGGAAATAACTTCTGAAGAACAGAATAAAGTAAAAAGAATGAAAAGAGTTGAGAACAGTCTCAGAGACTTCTGGGACCTTATCAAACACACCAACATTCAAATTATAGGGGTCCCAGAAGAAGAAGAGAAAAAGAAAGGGTATGAGAAAATTTTTGAAGAGATTATAGTAGAAAATTTCCCCAACATGGAAAAGGAAATAGTCAATCAAGTCCAAGAAGTACAAATAGTCCCATACAGGATAAACCCAAGGAGAAACATGCCAAGACACATACTAATCAAACTAACAAAGACTAAACACAAAGAAAGAATGTTAAAAGCATCAAGAGAGAAGCAACAAGTAACATACAAGGGAAACCCCATACACTTAACAGCTGATCTTTCAGCAGAAACTCTGCAGGCCAGAAGGGAATGGCAGGATATATTTAAAGTACTGAAAGAGAAAAATCTACAACCAAGATTACTGGTCCCGGCAATGATCTCATTCAAAAATGATGGAGAAATAAAAAGCTTTTCAGACAAGCAAAAGGTAAGAGAATTCAGTACCACCAAACCAGCTTTACAACAAACATTAAACAGACTTACATGGTCAACAAATACACCAGAAAAAAAGATCTACAAAATCAACCCCAAACAATTAAGAAAACGGCAATAGGAACATATATATCAATAATTACGTTAAATGTAAATGGATTAAATGCTCTAACCAAAAGATACAGACTAGCTGAATGGATACAAAAATAAGACCCGTATATATGCTGTCTACAAGAAACCCACTTCAGACCTCAAGACACATATAGACTGAAAATGAGAGGATGGAAAAATATATTCCATGCAAATGGGAAGCAAAAGAAAGCTGGAGTAGCAATCCTCATATCAGACCAAATAGACCTTAAAATAAAGAAGATTACAAGAGATAAGAAAGGATACTACATAATGATCAAGGGATCAATCCAAGAGGAAGACATAACAATTGTAAATATCTGTGCATGCAACATAGGAGCACCTCAATACATAAGAGAAATACTAACAGACATAAAAAGAGAAACTGACAGTAACACAATAATAGTAGGAGACTTTAACACCCCACTCACACCAATGGACAGATCATCAAAACAGAAAATTAATAAGGAAACACAATTCTTAAATGATATATCAGATGAGATGGATATCATTAATACCTTCAGGACATTCCATTCAAATGCAGAAGAACACACCTTCTTCTCAAGTGCACATGGAACATTCTCCACGATAGACCACATCCTGGGTCACAAATCAAACCTCAGTAAATTTAAGAAAACTGAAATTGTTTCAAGCATCTTCTCTGACCAAAATGCTATGAGACTAGATATCAATTACAAGAAAAAAACTAAGAAACACAAACACATGGAGATCAAACAACATGTTTCTAAATAACCAACAGGTTACTGAAGAAATCAAAAGGAAACCAAAACATTTCTAGAAACAAATGACAATGAAAAGATGACAACTCAAAACCTATGGGGTGCAGCAATATCAGTTCTAAGAGGGAAGTTTATAGCAATACAGTCCTACCTCAAGAAACAAGAAAAATATCAAGTAGACAACCTAACTTTACAACTAAAAAAACTGGGAAAAGAATTAAAAAACCCCAAAATTAGTAGAAGGAAAGAAATCATAAAGATCCAAGCAGAAATAAGTGAAAAAGAAACAATAGTAAAGATTAATAAAACTAAAAGCTGATTCTTTGAGAAGATAAACAAAATTGACAAAGCTTTAGCCAGACTCATCAAAAAAAGAGAGAAGAATTGAATCAACAAAATTAGAAATGAAAAAGGAGAGGTTACAAGAGACAGTGCAGAAATACAAAGGATTATAAGAGACTATTATGAACAACTATATAACCTATATAACAACTAAGATAACCTGGAAGAAATGGACAGATTCTTAGAAAAGTTCAGTCTTCCAAGACTGAATCAGGAAGAAATAGAAATTATGAATAACCCAATTACAAGCACTGAAATTGAAGCTGTGATCAAAAAAACTACCAAAAAACAAAAGCCCAGGACCAGATGGCTTCACAGGAGAATTCTATCAAACTTTTAGAGAAGAGATAATGCCTATCCTTCTAAAACTCTTTCAAAAAATTGCAGAGGAAGGAACACTTCCAAACTCATTCTACAAGGCCACCATCACCCTGATACCAAAACCAGACAAAGACAACACAAAAAAAAGAAAACTACAGGCCAATATCACTGATGAACATAGATGCAAAAATTCTCAACAAAATTTTAGCAAACAGAATTCAGCAACACATCAAAAAGCTCATACACCATCATCAAGTGGGGTTTATTCCAGGATGCAAGGATTCTTCAGTATATGCAAATCATTCAATGTGATACACCATATTAACAAATTGAAAGGTAAAAACCATATGATCATCTCAATAGATGCCGAGAAAGCCTTTGACAAAATTCAGCACCCGTTTATGATGAAAACTCTTCAAAAAATGGGCATAGAAGGAACCTACCTTAACATAGTAAAGGTCATATATGATAAGCCTACAGCAAACATTATTCTCAATGGTGAAAAACTGAAAGCATTCCCCCTAAGATCATGAGCAAGACAAGGGTGTCCAGTTTCACCACTATTATTCAACATAGTTCTGGAAGTCCTAGCTACAGCAATCAGAGAAGAAAAAGAAATAAATGGAATCCAGATTGGAAATGAAGAATTAACACTCTCACTGTTTGCAGATGACATGATACTGTGCATAGAAAACCCTAAAGATGGTATCAGAAAATTACTAAAGCTAATCATTGAATTTAGCAAAGTTGCAGGATAAAAAATCAATGCACAGAAATCACTTGCATTTCTATACACAAACAATGAAAAGTCAGAAAGAGAAATTAAGCAATCAATCCCATTCACCACTGCAACAAAAAGAATTAAATATCTAGGAATAAACTTACCTAAGGAGACAAAAGAACTGTACACAGAAAATTATAAGACACTAATGAAAGAAATCTAAGACCACATAAACAGATGGGGAGATATTCCATGTTCCTGGGTAGGAAGAATCAATATTGTGAAAATGACTATACTACCAAATGCAATCTCAAGATTTAATGTGATCCCTATCAAATTACCAAGGGCATTTCTCACAGAACTAGAACAAAAAATTTCACAGTTCATATGGAAACACAAAAGATCCCAAATAGCCAAAGCACTCTTGAGAAAGAAGAATGGACCTGGAGGAATCAACCTTCCTGACTTCAGATTATACTACAAAGCTACAGTCATCAAGACAGTTTGGTACTGGCACAAAAACAGAAATATAGACCAATGTAACAAGATAGAAAGCCCAGAAATAAACCCATGCACCTATGGGTACCTTATTTTTGACAAAGGATGCAAGAATATACAAGGGGGCAAAGACAGCCTCTTCAATAAGTGGAGCTGGGAAAACTGCACAGCTACATGTGAAAGAATGAAATTATAACACTTCCTAATACCACACACAAAGATAAACTCAAAATGAATTAAAGACCTAAATGTAAGACCAGAAACTATAAAACTCTTAGAGGAAAACATAGGCAGAATACTCGATGACCGAAATCAAAGCAAGATCCTCTAAATGGATCATAGAGGATCCATTCTGTTTTTAATGGAAATAAAAACAAAAGTAAACAAGTGGGACCTGATTAAACTTAAAAGCTTTTGCACAGCAAAGGAAACTGATAAGCAAGGTGAAAAGACAATCCTCAGAAAGGGAGGAAATAATAGCAAATGAAACAACTGACAAAGGATTAATTTCCAAAATATACAAGCAGCTCACACAACTCAATACCAGAAATACAAACAACCCAATCAAAAAGTGGAAAAAAGACCTAACAGACATTTCTCCAAAGAAGACACACAGATGGCTAACAAACACATGAAAAGATGCTCAACATCACTCATTATTAGAGAAATGCAAATCAAAACTACAATGAGATATCACTTCACACCAATTGGAATGGCCATCATCAAAAAGGCTACAAACAATAAATCCTGGAGACAGTGTGGAGAAAAGGGAATGCTCTTGCACTGTTGGTGGGAATGTAAATTGATACAGCCACTATGGAAGACAGTATGGAGATTCCTTAAATAACTAGGCATAAAGCCACCTTATGACCCAGCATTCCCACTCGTAGGCATTTACCCTGGGGAAACCAAAATTGAAAGAGACACACGTATCCCATTGTTCATTGCAGCACTATTTACAATAGCTAGAACATGGAAGCAACCTAGATGTCCATTGACAGATGAATGGATAAAGAAGTTGTGGTACATATACACAATGGAATATTACTCAGCCATAAAAGGGAATGCATTTGAGTCAGTTCTAATGAGGTGGATGAACTTAGAACCTATTATACACAGTGAAGTGAGTCAGAAAGAGAAAGATAAATACTGTATTCTAATGCATATATACAGAATCTAGAAAAATGTTACTGGTGAATTTATTTACAGGGAAACATTGGAGAAGCAGACATAGAGAATAGACATATGGACATGGGAAGAGGGGAGGAGAGGGTGAGATGTATGGAAAGAGTAACATGTAAGCTTACATTACCATATGTAAAATAGACAGCCAACGGGAATTTGCTGTATGGCTTAGGAAACTCAAACACAGACTCTGTATCAACCTAGAGGGGTGGGATGGTGAGGGAGATGGGAGGGAGTCTCAAAAGGGAGGGGATAGATGTGTACCTGTGGTTGATTCAAGTTGAGGATTGACAGAAAACAGCAAAGTTCTTTAAAGCAATTATCCTTTGATACAATATAAATTTTAAAAAAGAATGGGGCTAGATATTAGGGATAGAAACAGGAATAAGAAATGCTTCCACATTTATGGAGCTTACAGTCTATTGGGGAAGTCAAACCAAAATAATACAATAAATAGATAATTACAAGTTATAATAAGTGAAATAAAAAGGGTAGAAAATGAAAGACAGAGAACATGATTTTCCTATGGTTCAATGATGGCCTTAGAGAGTGAAATTTAAGCTTTGATCATGAAAGAAGATGAGTCAGCCATAGGAAGAGCAATAAAAAAAGCACTAGAGGCAGAGTAGCACATGCAATGTCCCTGAGCTGGGAAACTTGAATTATCCCAGAACTCAAACCAGTGCTGCTGGGGCTGGAACCCAGTCTTTAGAAGGCACAGAGGTACAGGAAGAAGTTTGGGGAGAAGACAGGACCTTGTAGGCAAAAGGAAGAGTGGGCTCCTCTTAGTTTATAGAGCAAGAGAATGGTAGACCAGGGATTTGAACTAAGGTTATAGTAGTCCCCAAGCCCCCTATACTGGTGGTACACAAAGTGGATTCCATAGTTCAGCAGCATCACTGTCACTGGAGAACTTGCTGGAAATGCTCATTCGTGACCCACCCCAGGAACTCCAGTTCCAGAGCCTAGTGATGTGTTTTAACAGGATCGATATCCACTACCTTCATGAAGATCAAGGACACCTTAAATCCCCCATTCCTCTCATTTACATATTTCTCCCAGTCCAAGCAGGATTACTGCTCTAAGCAACCTAATCATTTGCCTGAGGGACTGGTCCTTTAGGCATCCACACTTATCTTACACATGTAGCCCTGCCAGGCCTGCAGGTTCACTCAGTAGAGCTCTGCTGGGCACTTTGCTCAAACTTCTCCTCTCTGTTGCAGGACGATCCGCCCCAACAGTGCAGTGCGCTCCATCTACAAAGCTTCGGGCTGCTCCGACAACCCCAACCATCACGTCAGCTACCTAGAGCACGTGGTCGTGCGCATCACCATCACCCACCCCAGGAGGGGAGACCTGGCCATCTACCTGACCTCGCCCTCAGGAACCAGGTCCCAGCTTTTGGCCAACAGGTACGGTCATGGCCCCTGACCACCAGTGTGCACTCAGCTACTCTTTAAGCTGGAAAAAGAATGAAGAATCAGCAGTTCTTCATTTTTGTTTTTTTTTTTTTTTTTTTACTTTTTACGAAGTTGAAGGTTGTGCATGTACAAATATTATAAAATCATGATTTTTTATACAATTTTTAAAGATTACTTTCCATTAACAGTTTTTACAAAATATGGGCTATATTCCCTGTGTGGTACAATACATCCATGAGCCTATCTTATACCCAATAATTTATACCTCCCACTCCCCCACCTATATATTACCACTCCCAACCCCATCCACTAATTTGTTCTCTATATCTATCTGCTACTTTTTTGGTATATTTACTAGTTTATTATAGTTTTAGATTCCACATGTAAGATATACAGTGTTTGTCTTTCTCTGACTTATTTCACTTAGTATAATGCTCCCCAAGTTCATCCATGTTGCTGCAAATGACAAAAATTGTTTTTATGCCTGAGTAGTATTCCATGTTGGAGAAGGCAGTGGCACCCCACTCCAGTACTCTTGCCTGGAAACTCCCATGGATGGAGGAACCTGGTAGGCTACAGTCCATGGGGTCGCTAAGAGTCGGACACAACTGAGCGACTTCCCTTTCCCTTTTCCCTTTCACACATTGGAGGAGGAAATGGCAACCCATTCCACTGTTCTTGCCTGGAGAACCCCAGGGATGGGGGAGCCTGGTGGGCTGCCATCTCTGGGGTCGCACAGAGTCGGACACGACTGGAGCAACTTAGCAGCAGCAGCAGTATTCCATGTATGTATGCGTGTATCTATATAGAGATGTATGTATATATACATATATGTGCTCAGTCATAGCTTACTCTTTGCAGCCCCATGGACTATAGCCCACCAGATTCCTCTGTCCATGGAATTTTCCAGGCAAGAATATTGGAGTGTGTTGCCATTTCCTTCTCCAATATATACATATATACACACATACACACACACACTTATACCACAGCTTCTTTATTCATTCTTCTTTTAATGGACACTTAGGTTGCTTCCATATCTAAGCTATTGCAAATAATCTGCTATGAACATTGGGGTCTACTTATCTTCTTGAATAACAACATGATTACAAAATAGGCAGAAGAAGTGAATAGACATTCTTCCAAAGAGGAAATGTAGATGGCCAACAGGTACATGAAAAGATGCTCAACATCACAAATCATCAGGAGAAATGCAAATCAAAACCACAATGAGTATCACCTCACACCTGTCAGAATTGCTATCATCAAAAAGAATACAAATAACAAATGTTGGTGAAGATGTGGGATAAAAGAAATTCTTGTATACTGTTGGTGTGAATCTCAGTTGGTGCAGCAACTGGAAAACAGTATGGAAGTTCTTCAAAAAACTAAAAATAGAATTACCATAAGACCTAGCAATTCTACTCCTGGGTGTAGATAAAAAAAAAAAAACATTAATTAAAAATATACAGCTGTTCTTTAATATCTTACTACCCTAAGAACTTCAGTGAGGGGCACCACTTAGATGTCATGATGAGATGGTCATAGCTCTCACTGCCCACATGTAAACAGAGTAATGAGCTGCCTAGAATCTATTGGCATGAAGCGGTGTAACACTTAAGATTTGCGTAATATTAAAAGGATGCCACAGAAAAGTTAAAGGCCACCTGTTGTTCTTTATCCTATAAAAGAAATGCAGAACACTGACTCTTTAGGCCTCTGAGATGGTCTTCCTGGCCCCTAAATGTCTGCTGGCATTTGTTGCAGATTAACTGAATGCTCTTGCCTGAGCACTTTCCAAAGTTAAAGGAAATTCTGTTTGTTTTAAAAAAGATTTTGGCATATCTTTTTTCTACAGAGTCTCAGTTAGTAAATGTTTCAAGCTTTGCAGGTCATGTGTCTGTTACCAATCCTCAACTCTGCCACTAGAGTGCAAAAGTCATTGTAAACAACATAAATGCATACGCATGGCTGTGTTCCAATAAAACTTTATTTACACAAACAGGCCAAGGGCCGGATTTAGTTTGAGGGCTGGCAGTAGTTTCCTAACCACTATTTAAAGGCTGGCCCTTTAGCCTTTATTGGCCAAGGGAACACTCACTTTCTCTTTGTAGCCTCTTCCATTCTCTCCGCTCCCTTCAAACATTTCTCCAGCAGGTAATTGTATTTCCAGGATCCTGTTGAAAGGCCAGAATGTTCTAGCACAAGTTTTCTTCTGCTCCATTGGCTTTTCGAGTGGTTGGGATTATGGGTGGGGGATACTTGTCAGCAAGTGGGACCAGATGGGGAAAGGCCAGGTTTTCTTATACACCCCATTCCCATTATGGTTCCAAACTACAAGCCACAATGAGAAGCCTAAAAGTTTCTTTAATGTGATGTTTTTCTCCAAGAGGAACATTTAATAGGAGCAAAAACTTTACTGTCAAAGGCCTATACAGTCCACATGAAAGCCAAACTTTTCTGTCGACAGGGCCACCTCTCCACATGCCAGGCATCCGCAGCAGTGGTGTTTTCTGGTAGGACACTGAAAACAACCCAGACGAGTTGAGGGGCCAAGTCCAATGCAGGCCTGCAGAGCCGAAAGTGAGACTGAGGGACTCTCAGTGGCTTTTCAAAATCTCCACATTCATCTGCTGTAGGACAGTAAGAAAAAGAGAAAGCAAGAGCATTTCTAGACTCTCTCACTGCATTTTATTTCTGTTCTTGGAAGTCTTCTTGTGTTCGTCCCTAAAACCTAACATCTTTCATTAGGGCATGAGGTAACCTGGGCTTCGTATTCTCTGAAGGGAACCTTTGCCAGGATCAGTATATGCAGCTGTGAGAAATTGAAGGACGCTTTGGCATCCAGTCGTGGACACACCCTCCTCCCTCTGCAGTCAGGGATCTCAGCTGCCGCCAGGTCTTGCTACTACCTGCCTGAGGCTTCCCTTGAGCAAGCAAGGCCTTCAGATGCACAATTCTATGATTAAGGGAGATCACGCCAGCTGTTGTTACCAAAGCCAGGGAGGACCTTGTTCTTGCTTTCTTTTTTCTTTTCTTGACTGCAGTTCATTTGCATTGAATTTGGAGTATCCAGGTGACCCCAGTGAAGTAGAAAGGTTGGCTTCACACATGTGCAACTCTTCTCCCTGGAGCCCCCTCCATTGTGGAAAAACGGTCCACCCACAGTTGTTTGCTTGGAAAACTCAGTCCCTTCAGCCTTTCTGGGATCTTCTGCATTTTTCAATATTTCTTGTTGGCTCCCCTGGAAATGACTTCAGTGAGGAAACTTGTGAGCAGAGGAGCAAAAGATTCCAAGACAGGCATTTGGTGAATTACAGTGTCACTGGCTCCAGTTCCTCGTGAATTCTTCAACAGCAGGCATCTGCTTTGCTCTTTGCAAAGTGCTGAACCCCAAAGTGCTGCCTGACTTGTGTCAGAGAAAAGTAACAGGCATTTTCGACACTCAGTGACCCATCTTATGGTTCACTTTAGTCTGTCCCATAGGGACCCCCTGGGAATAAGGTCTGCATGCAGAGTACATCTTCTTGGTCTGGGGCATTTCTTAAAGTGCTGCTCTTTTGTCTATCTTCCATCTCAGTGCTGAAAATAAGCAGCCACCCCCCCCCCAAAAAAAAAAATGGTAGACAAAATGGAGTGGAGGGAGGGGACTGGAGATAAGGGATGTAAAAGGATGTTATGAATTCATTTGCCCACAGTTCCGCAAAACACTGCTATGAACATCTGACCTTTTAAATGTAAAACAGCTGCACTTGGTCCCCAAACCAGTCTGGCCACCCTCCAGGGCCTGGCTACCCCATCCTTGTTGTACTTGACACTAGTAGAATCCCTCCTACTGAAGTAGCTAAGGCAAGACGGTTTCTTTCGGCATTTTTTTCCTTCTGGCATATTCCAATACTTTAATTTTATTAGAGGAAATCTCTCTTCAGAACTTCCCAGTCTCCGACCTCCTGGCAGAGAGACCTCTGTGTCCTGTCACCTTGGCCCTGTTTCAGAGCACACTCCCAAGATTGGGAGCTGAGGGAAGAAGCATCGACAAGGGATGGGCAGGTGGTGACAGGAAGGTCTGCTTTGCTCCTGGTGGCCTTCAAGTTAGCCTGCTGGGCTGGGCACTAATACCTTTCCTCAAGGAAAAGGTGACCAGGTCAGGGTTTAGAAGGAATTCGTATGTCAGAGATTTTTTTTTTTTTAATTGAAGTATAGTTGATTCACAATGTTGTGTTAATTTCTGCTGTATAGAACAGTGATTCAGTCATATACACACATATGTACACATTCTTTTTTATATTCTTTTCCATTATGTTTTATCATAGGATACTGCATATAGTTCCTTATGCTATACAGTAGGACTTTGTTGTTTTTCCATTCCACATGTAATAGTTTGCATCTGCTAATCCCAAATCCCTAGTCCATCTGTCCCCCACCCCCCTTTCCACTGGGCAGTCTATGTCTGTTTCTGTTTCATAGATAGGTTCATTTATGTCATATTTTAGATTCCACATATAAGTGATATCATACGGTATTTGCCTTTCTCTTTGTGATTTGACTTCACTTAGTATGATAATCTCTAGGTCCATCCATGTTGCTGCAAATGACATTATTTTGTTCTTCTTCATGGCTGACTAGGGTTCCACTATGTACCACATATGTACTAGGGTTCTATATATAGGGTTCCACTATATGTACCACATCTTCTTGATTCATTCATCTGTCAATGGACATATAGGTTTTTTCCATGTCTTGGCAATTGTGGATAGTGGTGCTACAAACATAGGGATGCATGATCTTTTTGAATTACAGTTTTTTCTGGATATATGCCCAAGCATGGAATTGCTGGATCATATGGTAATTGTATTTTTAGTTTAAGGAAACTCCATACTGTTTTCTACAGTGGCTGCACCAACTTGCATTCCCACCAATAGTGTAGGAGGGTTCCCTTTCTCCACACTCTCTGTAGCATTTGTTATTTTAGACTTTTTAATGATGGCCAT